GGGGTGTGGGAGGGGAAAAAGAGGCGTGCTCCGGAGCCATTCAGCGTGTGTGTTTATGTCACGATGGGCGCGGACAGGGCGGGGAGAAACCAATGTTTGGGGGCTGGGGGATGACTCGTGTGGGACGAACCATTCTTAGAGAGGAAGGCATGGCAGCTTCATGTTTGTTTGTTGGTTTCCGCCCCGTGCAAGGGATTCCAGTGGGTGGGGAAATGGCTCTCTGTCCCTCGTTTCAGCTCAGTTGTCTTCCTCGAAAGGGTTAGGTTTGGTGACGTCAAAGGGGGGGGGGAGGATTAATTTCCGTACAGATCGCTTTAACTTTGGGTGAAATGCAGTTTTGCCCTTCCATTGGCTTGGTTGCTGTGCCACCCTGGTCTCTGACGACCACATGGGTATAGATTTGAGCGTAAACATGTAATAGAAAGGGTTCTCTTCTGCCCAGAGGGTTTGATGGTTGGTTGGCATAACAACTTAATAAATTATTATTCATCTGAATTCATCTTTTAAGTGAACTGGGGGGAAAGTGTTCTTGTTACTTTTTTTGTATTAAATAGACTACATCAGAAGTTCAGCAAATAATGAAATTTGCTTATTAGTTGTTTTTGAGAATATTTAATGTGGTATTCATTTGGGTCTAGTGGTTAAGAAAGCAGGTACAGGACCAAAGTTCAGGTTCTACCTTGGCCATGAAAGCCAGCTGTGGGACCTTGGGCCAATCACTTTGTCCAACTCATTCCACAGGAAACATAGGAGGAGGAAGGTACTTTACTGCCTTGGGTTATTTGTAAAAAGCGGGATATAAATAATTTCAGTTGCAAGAAGTGTTGATTGTTATTGCTGCAACTTGATTATTATGTTGAATTCAACCGTATCCGTTTGTTGTCTGAAATAATTACGACAGAATGTCTGATTTAATAATTCTCTGAAGTTGATATAGTTTATGTTCTACAGGTAGACTTTGATTTACAGCCTCAATTGAGCCCCAAATTTCTAAGTGCTAAGTGAGACATTTGTTAAATAAGTTTTACTTCATTTTAGGACCTTTCTTACCAGAGTTGTTAAATGAATCACTCCAGTTGTTAAGTTAGTAAAACTGATGTTAAATCTATTTGGCTTCCCTATTGATTTTGCTTGTCAGAAGGTTGTAAAAGGTGATCACAAAACCCCTGGATACTGCAACTGTCATAAATATGAACCAGTTGCCAAGCATCTGAATTTTGGTCACATGGAGATG